CTATTTTTAGAACTTAGGGTAACCCAGAAAACACCCATTCCATTTTTTCCCAGCACAGAAAAAAGGAAAAGAAAATGTGGGGGGGATGAGCTAGTCCTTTGACATGAGTGGAGTAGGATGGGAAGGCTGTTTATGTGGTAGGGATGGGGTTGGGGAGGTTGGGAAATAAATCTATTTGGGGCCGAGATTGAATTACGTGTCTTGTTGTGTCGCGTTGGTGTGTTCGTGTGTGCGTGGCTGGCTCCCTGACCCTTGCGCGCCTCTTTACAGACAACTTTCCTCTGCGCTATCCTGTCCTTCAACTAATTTACGACCATCTCATGCTGCGCGTTTGATTTCGCCAAGCCTGGGCCGACCTTGAGCATCACCTCGAGCCAAGCCAAACTTCTAATTTTACTCTCCACACACCTCTCTCTGGAGTGTGTGTGTATATCTAAACTCGTAGGTTCTCAGGCCAGCCACCCTTGTAGTAGCTCTGTCATTCCTGTCTGCCCCTAGTGAGACATTACTACATCATAATAGACCTGATTGCACTGTAATAGCTGTTTCCTTAATTGGCAGCTTTAAATCACCAAAGAGAGCAAGGTCTATGGGTCCAGTTGAACCCTTCTGCCCTTAATACTTCTTATCTGTGACACTGTGCACATTCTTCTGATCACCGTACATCCAAACAGTAATGTAACCTCCCATTGATAATAAATCTCCCTCCATCCATAGGCCTTCTACTCCTGCCCCCGTTCGTTCTGACTTTGCAGGGCTCCATTACAAGCCTCACTCCTGCTGGCCTATTCCTGAAAATGGCCTTATGTATTAATCATCTCTTCGGTTGGCTAAAAGCTCTGGCAAGGCGTCACGGCTTTTCTCGGCCTGGTTTTTAAAAATAAGAGAGAAAAGGTGGCTGCAGGGGATGACAGTAGTGCGAGTAGCAGCACTGGCAGCAACCAACCACGGGAGGGGGGGGGGGGGTGATAGCCCAATATACACAAGGATCAGGACCCCCCAGGGACGTGTCACTGCCTGAGACCTCTGGGATGCTCCCTCTAGAGATGCTGGGGGAATGTATTGGCCATTGTGCTTGCTTAATTGATTGCTTATTTAATTCATGTTGTGGGAATTGGCTACAGGTCGAGCCTTATTATGATTAGAAATACCCCCTCCCCTTTCCACTGCCTCGTCTCTGTAACGTCTCAGTCCCTGCATTAGCCCTGATCCATTCATGCAGTTCCTTTCTGCTCTTGATTCATCCGCCCACTCACTTTGCTAGTACCTCACACCTTACCCACACCTTACCCGTGCTGTAATGTTGCCGTGAGGTGCGGTGACGGCCCTGCGCAGCGTGACTAAAGGAGGGGAGAAGGCAGAGGAGAGGGAGGGGAGGGGGTTGACCGCAGTGCTCCGTCCTGCCGCGTTGCAGTGCAGTGATTTGTCCTGCTGGGGTCTCTTTAACACAGGGGATGTGTCTGTATCTGAGGAGAAAGGGGAAGAGCAGAGAGATAAGGTGCTAGGGAGGAGGGTGGGAGGGGGCAGGAGGGGGAACAGCGTGAAGCCTTGTGGTTACATCTTTTGATGAGGAAGCTGGAGGGGAAAAGGCAAGTGTGTACCAGGAGCACATACGTAATTGTAGTGCTTGCTCTGTCTAGCGCACACAAACATTATCTCCACTTCTCTGCAGAGCCCCCCTCCTCCAAGTGCAACATTTACTATTCTGCTCAGCTGTACATCTCTGATACAGCTCTGCTCTTGTTTTCTGCTCCAGACCCACTTCCACTGCAGTATTTTCCAGTGTGCCCTGTCCATTTGTCCCTCCTCCTGTGATTGTTTTTTTGTCTTTGCTCTTCCTGCCAACAGCTTGCTCTGTTCCGCATAGTCAGCACTCCTCCAAATTCCTCCCTACTTTCCCTCTCCTCCTCCCCTCCCCCAGTCACTACTGCTGGTACCTCGCACCAGTCGATGCATCCCATAATCCCATGCTCTCCCCCCTCCTTCTTGCTGCAGTGTTTCTGCTAATATATATTAGCGTCATTGCAGCTTTGGAATTAAAATCATTTCTTATTCAAAACCCTGATCTGCAGCTGCCAGCACAGTTTTTCATTTAAGCTTTAGCAGCACTAAGCCTCATTTGCCTTTCAAATAATATGTTTGAGGGCTTTTGGTTCTGGCCAGGTGAGTGTGCGTTACAGCTCTCTGGTGTGCAGAGCTAGTACCAGTGTGGCGCAGGACATGGTGAACAAGGAAATGCTGCATCTTTTTACCTCCACTTTCTATCCCCTCATCTTCACCTCCAGTCTGTTATTATAGAGCAACTACACTGCTGCAGCTAGACAGCAAAGTGCTGAGGCTAAAGGAAATATGTTTACTTTCTCTTAAATAAAGACACAACAAATGATATCCTATTTATTAACTTCTTATGTTTACTCAGAGTTTAGGAGGCACCCTAACAAACAAAGCTACAATTAATTTTCAATCAAAAGACACTCGTGTGGACAGATATAATCAATAAACAGCAGGCTCTTGGGCGGAACAAAACGCATTTAACCATGTTTACAGACTTGTGGCTGTCAGTATCTATTAAATATTTAACAGACTGCCTGAAAAGACTATTGTCCAGTGCAGTTGGAATATGAGTAAGTAAAAAAATAATTAGAGTAAAAAATAGCACAATAAAAAAAGTGTGAAATGGCTGAGAAAAGTTTGAATGGAGGAGGGAGTGAGTGGTACTGTCCGTGGTGCTGAAACTTTAGCTGTCCCACCACTAAAGCAGCGCTGCACGAAAGCACAGCTTTCAGTGTGAATGAGTCACAGCACTTTCTCAGAGTTGGGCTAACTTACTCTTGATGTTGTCATGCCTGTACTTTTAAATTTAGATTAGTTTAGATTTCACTGTAAAACACATGCTCTTTGTAACTGTCAAGTAAAAAAAAAAAATTAAAATCAGGCAAGCAGATATCCAGTAAGAAGTTAACAATTGAGATTGAGTTGTGAAATGTTAAATGTCAGTTTTTGTTGCATTACTCATGCAGTTTTAATGTCTTACCTCAGTGCAGTATGGCTTTCCCTGAAAGATCCACACAAAAGTGTCAACATAATGCTGAAAAAATAAAAATAAAAAATAAATAAATAAAATGAACACAGGAAAAATTATAAACTTTTAAACAAAAATAGTTCCCTGAGTAATAAACACCACAAAAGTCCAAACACAAAAGAGAAATACTGCAGTGTCCTAGATGGCACAAGGGGAAAACCACAAGTGCAGAGAAGGGAGAGTTGGTAAAAGTGAGTTGGGATGGGGCAGTATGGAGAAACAAAAAACAGATGGCACTAGAAGTGAAGGGAGAAGGGAGAAGGAAGAACTAAAGAAGAATGTAGTTTATGATAAGGCTAACACAGTGTTATGAGATGAGGAGGAGGAGGAAAGGAAGGAGTGAAGCTTCGGTTCTCCCCCTTTCAATGAAATGTGAGTCCTTTATGCGGATGAGAAGAGCGCTGGGAGGGGGAGAGAAAGTCAAGGGGGGAGGAGGGGACCAGAGTGGAAGTGGTGCAGTTCACTGTCAGGAGAAAAACGGGTTAACAACAACATACATAGAGAGAGCCCTGTGGCGCACTGGGTAGTATAAAGGAATGTTGTTTTGTGTTTCCAAAGCAGAGATGCTGTTGAAGGAGAAGAAAGCTAAGAGACAGAAGGACGGAGCAGAGACTGGGGCTTTTTACTGCAGCAGAATTCATTCACTTTTATAGCGCACTCTCGTTTTCGTTGCCTACCCCCTCTCACACTCTCATTGTGTGCTTCCTCCCCCCTCTTCCTCCTTTGCTCCATTACCAGACAGTATTATACAGCCTTTACTCACCAGCCAACATGGTGCAAACACATAACACCTCCTCTTTTCCACCATCTCCTCTCCTGCTTAGTTTTACCCACTACATCCCATGTTCCCTCTTCCTGTTTGCATGCCTCCACTGTGGCACATTGCAGAGGCAGGGTCTGCAGCAGTGTCGGCTGATTGAGGAGGTCTAACATTAGTACGGACACTGCACTCTCGGGAGGCAATTAACACACACGGTGAGCTGCACCACCTTACGTCAGAGCCCCGTTCTGGAGGGAGAGAAAAAGATACTTTAGTCATACACTGTAGGTAAAAACAGAATGAGCAGAAAAGGCTCTGAGCAGGTGAGGAACAGGGGAGAGGAGGTCGAACAATGGCCTAATTAGGCGGAGGATTTGAGGATCAACTGGATCAATTTAGAGATTGTTGGCTGAAGGACTGTGCTCGGGCTAATGAGAGAAAGGGAGATGAAAATGGAGACTCATTCAGAAGTCCATGCGTTTTACACAAGGCCGCAGTCATCCACTTAACACTGAGGGGGTTCATGTGAAGTGTGTCCTTTCAAGCCAATAGCATGTATTGTTTGAGAGGATGAGACAATGTCCTACTTAAAAGAAATTGGCATTACATCTATTGCCTACTATAGACTGCATACTGTTTGGTCACAAGTAGTGGTTTCAGTTCTATTAGCAGTATCAAAATGTAATTTAATAAGATTCAATACCCTATCTATTGTGAAACTCTCCCAGGGACAAGTCCCAGGTATTTTCATTACTGGAGAAAGTCTGCACCCTCCTCATATTGTTAATGTGTGGGACCAGCGTGGTTATGCACAGTTCCCTTGTGTGTTGTATGTTCAAGCCCAGTGCTCCTGGCCAACTTTATGGCACCTCATGCCAAATGTTATCAGTGTTTTATGGAGATGCTGAGTCATGAGCCATGCACCTGTTCTGTTTGTGATGCGTGCTTTTCAACTTTTCCTCTGCAACATTTGACGACATCAGTGTTCCTTACGGGCTAATCCTGTATGTAACCAAACTGTATTTGTTATAATTGTTGATAAAATTCACTATTTCTCCAGCTGAAAACATTTCTATCCCTTCTCTCTCCCGCAGACTCCTCAGACTCCTCCCTCCTCCCTCCGTTTTCTCGCATCCTCTCTCCCTCCCCCCTCGGTCCTCTATGCTCAGTTCGGTGTGTGTATCCTCTTTCAAAGGGCGCAAGGGTGGGAACAAGTCGTCCAACAAAGCATGTTACAGCGCAGACATGACTTGTCCGTCGGAAAGCGAGAAAATTGTCATAAACTGCGGCGGGGTTCGCCATGAGACTTACCGGAGCACCCTAAAGACGTTGCCCGGGACTCGCTTGTCGTGGCTCACGGAACCGGACGCATTCAGCAACTTCGACTACGACCCTAAATTGGACGAGTTTTTCTTTGACCGTCATCCGTCTGTCTTCTCGTTCATCCTCAACTATTACCGCACAGGAAAGTTGCACTGTCCCAACGATGTGTGCGGTCCGCTGTTCGAGGAGGAGCTCGCCTTTTGGGGTATCGACGAGACGGACGTGGAGGCGTGTTGCTGGATGAACTACCGCCAACATCGGGACGCGGAGGAGGCATTGGACAGCTTTGAGACACCAGAACCGGAGGCGCCGGATGACGACCCTGCACTTGGAGGCGCAGATGGAGACTTGAAAAGACTATGTATGCAGGAGGACGCCAGAAAAGCAGGATGGTGGAAGACCTGGCAACCTAAAATATGGGCACTTTTTGAAGACCCTTACTCCTCCAAGTATGCCCGGGTGAGTACTTTTTTCAGTGTCTTGTCCATCTACTTTCCTAACATGACAACTTGTAAACTTTAGCTTACGGATGGTGTACCAGCAGGTTACTGCAGTGAAAGTGCTACTTAGCACCCCACAGCTTACATGTGTGTCATCTATGCCTCACAGCCAACCAATAGACTTACTCATATTAAATAATTAATGCTGATGGCACAAGAAAATGGAAAATGGCACAAAAGTCTGTATCTGTAGCTAACCCTTTTTTGTCTCACACATCATGTCTTGTACTTGATATAGTGTCCTCTACAATCCAGTACTGAATACATTTTTATAGCTGCCATAATTCCTTTGCTTGGCTTTACCACACATCTGGCTCCAAACGCGCCAAACGCGTGCCTGCGTCGCGTGCATCCAAACGCATTCATTAGCTCATATTTGCCCGTTTACGACGTGTCGTATCTCACGTTATTTATTAGTACATCTCTGCACTGAAGCAAACCCCTGTCTTTTTCTCCATTCGACCTTGTTGGTTACAGCCACATGCCCCATATGTCCCATTAGAAAGAGTACCGCTGTGTAACTTTCCCCAGCGGTTGTTAGGACCCCTTCTTATTGTTATGGCCCTAAATAGTTGACGATTTCACTCTTAAAAGAGAACATGGACGTTTGATAGCATTTGATCACACAGGTGTATGAGTAACAAGTATCCTCCGAGAGGTTGTGTTTGATGAGACATGAAAACATCTACACTGGGCTGTTCTGTTTTTGCCCAAATCCAGCTGCTTGATCACTCCAGCTTTGTTGTCGCATCCACTTATTTAGCCTGTTGTTAGCACACACTTCTCATGTGAAATAAAGATGCACAAGATTCCACATGTAAACCAGACAGTGAGCAGACACCTGCAGTGGCCATTCATGACATTGCACTCAAGTAAACGTAAAATGAATGAAGTACATTGAGGGGCTGCCTTTCAGAAGGGTCCAGCTCCAGATATTCCTTTAAAGGGGAGGAACAAAATATCAAGACTATGATGGATGGACAGTTCAGATTCTTGCCATCTGATCCTCTGTATTGGGCTTAGGAGAAAGCAGGAAGAGATTGTCTTAGTGTCACTCTCATTCCAATCACATTGATTTCCTGCAATAATCCACCTCTGCATCTGTACCCCCACCTCACAGGCAAAAACACAGTAAGCCAATCAAGTAGATACATATGAAAAGGTATGCAATAGATGCTTTTGTTTGAGCAGATTCTCAGACCAAAAGGAGGTTTGCAGTCGTGCCATACCTTGAATACTAACTACAGTACCTGCTGCCGCTCTGCCTGGATGCTGTAAATTATGTAATGTACAGTTTAACACCACAGCTGCTGGTTCTAGTGGCTTCATGAATCACACACTATATAAGAGCTATTCACTTTAAGCATTGGGGAGACCGTGGCATATTGGGGCTATGTAGAGCAGGTATAGGACTGGTTTAACATGTAGGAGCCCTATTTTCAAACCAACATGACCTAGATGGTCATGTTGATGATCCTACCCTGTTCTCGCTTAGGGTACCACATCTTTGTGAAAGTGAAAAGCACATTAGTCTGATTAGGAATGGAGTGGCCATGTAATGTATATAGGGAGACACAAGATAACTAATGCTTTGGAGGTCTTTTGTTTGCATAGTTGTTCCTATGCTATTCAAGATTTGATCTTCTTGTTCTAAATGAACTCCTGAGTGCGGCCATCCTTGGACGTGTTGTAGTGGGGTAAGAAACGCACACATACGGCTGTCTGTTGCTGGCGTTTCTGCTGCAGTAGACACGGGAGAAGAGAGGAGGGAGGGGGAGTGCTGGAGAGGAGCGATAGATACAGGCAAGAGCAAAGGGGGAAGGAGGAGGAAAAAGGGGAGAAATCGCAAAATGAAAAAAATGGAGCAATTGGAAAAGGGAGAAATGAGGAAAAAGAAGTGGATAGTCGGCGAGAAGGTGGCACACAGAGAAAGACAACACAATGGGGGTGGGGACCCTTGTCTTAGCATCTTCGATTATCTGAGGGGGCTTGAGCCATCCAATCTACAGAGCCTGCTCCCCTGCCTGCCTATTGATTGATATAATATTGATTATCTTCTCTTTGTCTGTCTTTTTTTAAGTCATTCCCCTTCCCCATTACCTCCCTCATTGCCAAATAACAGAGGCTGCTTTAAGTCTTAGGTTAATATGCAAAAATCTATACACAAAAAACATAACGTCACAAGATGTTGACGTTGATAAAGACTTTTTTTTAATATATAAAACTCAATATGTTTTAAGTAAAATTATTTTTTTCAAAAACAAAAACTGCATATTCCAGTAATAATTTTAGTAATGCAAGAGTAGTGCCACAGCTTAATTTATGGATATAAGTGTTTTTCTTGGTGATTTGTTATACAATACATTTTGTAGCTGATTTCCTCATTGATCCATGTTTGCTTTGACATATATCTTTTCCTGCACCAAAGGTCTGGAGTATATCACATGTGACAGCTTTTGATGGAGGCAGGTTTCATCACATTTGCATTTGAGTGTTCTCAACATTTTGTTTTGAATAGTTGCTTTTAAAGACCACTCAGTTGGTGATCATAATTGGATTAGAAAGGATTTACCTATATCATTTACATTTCCCAGTGTTTGCAGCTGAATAAGGGTCATTTAACAGCACTTAACACAATCACAGTGAAGATTTGGTGTTAAACTGAGATGAATAGGATAACATTTGCTAGTAACTGGAATCTATGGTGTCAGACAAGCAGGCATTATAACCAATAGTATTATTATTACAAAAGACTTTTTCTTGCATTGAAATTCTCAAATATAAAAAATTATGCTTGATTTACAAATATATATTATTATTACGCACTTCAGATGGTGAAGTAGTAGTCATGTATTACATTTCCTTTGGGGACATAATGCTTACTTCATATTTAATACAAAATTGCTTTGGAGTGCTATCTTTTGGTCACTTTCACAACAGAAGGGCACAGTTGTCTTCGTCAGCAATCTCCTGACAAAGCACCATTTGTAGCTCAGCATGTACAAGATGCCCCGGTGCCCCCTCCAAATCCAATGTGCCCGTTGGCAACCCGCACTTTTTGGGGGCAGCACAACTTCCCCTCTCCTCTGCCTGAAAACCTAACTTTTCCCCCTGAAGGTCATGTATTGTGGTTCATTGTTTACTGTCCCTTTTACCTCAGTGTTCATTTGTGGCATAAACACAACTATGACCTACCACTGCACTGGACCATTCAGAACATTTTGTCTCTGGATAGAAAATCACTGTGCTTGACGGAAAATTGTTTTATATATGGAACAATTTGCACTGTTATAGATAATAGATTTAATACAATTTCATGATATAGGTCAGGTCTAATTCTGCATGGTCTTGTGAGATTTTTTGTGCACCAGTTTGGTTTGCTCCAAAGCTGTACAATATACCACAGTTTAATGGAAGAATGTGGTGAAGGTGATTGTGGCAATGTACAATTACAGCCAACCATTAACACTGTTTTTATGGGGCAGTTAAAACACAAATTACTGTCTTAGTAATTATTTATAGTCAAGCATGCCTGATTCTAGAATACGATTTCAGACAGATGGGAAGCCAATATTCCTGTCAAAAGCTGAAAAGCTGAAAAGGTATAATACAAAGATAGACTACTAGACAATATTAAAGTGAGTCTATTGATATTAGTAGTAGAGATAATGTGTTCCATTAACAAAATTGGCTACGCGTTTATATGGGTATCAAAGAGTACCCAGAACTAAGCATTTGGCCTGGTTAATGAATTATTTTAAAGTGAATGAAAATGCATGAGGCAGGGTTCTATGTTACAATGTATTTTTCCAACCCACCCATGGCCCATCTGAAAGGCCTATTTCCCACTTCCATTCTCGTGTCCCTCCCTGTGGACTGCATCTGAAAATAGCAGAGAGGGACGAAGACCTTATTTGATTGTCGGGTAGTGAAGCTACATTTCTTGTGCTAGAGTAAGATAGCAGGGGTATGCGCAGTATATAAGCTAGGCTGCAGACGTCTTCTCACACCCGCAGGCAGACCAAATAGATGGTGGCAGATATTCCTAGATGCTCAGGTTCATTAAGGTAAACAGTTCTCCCTCTGGCAGGCATTGTGATAATTGCTCCACTATCCTACATTGGCAATAGGCAAATACATCTAGTTTGGTTTTGGTTTTCCCTGACAGTGTTTTGTACTGGGCTTCTCATGTTTTGTTTGCATTCTTGGAAGTCAAGGATGCACACCGCTGTAATTGGAGAGCTGTATGTTGGTGGGATCTAACTGCACAAAGCTTGATGTCTCATAACAAGGACAGAGACATCAGAGACATGTTAAATAAGTAAGACAAAGCACTTTCAGAACGGAAAAAGCAGGAAAGGAATTTTATTGATTTGCTGCCGACTTAGACAATACTTGATGACTTTACTGGTTGTCCGTAATACTCCAGCCAGAGGCATTTAGCACATTTTATGATTATGTTGCAAAATGGCCTTCTTATCTCTCTAGAAACCTTTCTGCCTGGCCAAGTCCTTCTCAACTATCTTTCTCCTCCTCTGCCTTAGTCCATTTGGTGGTTAAGTGCTGAATCAGCTCCCCACACCGCTGTACAGACAGTCAATTATGGATGCTCGGACACTGTGGTAAAACTCTTGATGTTTTGTCTACATATTAGAATTCTGGAAAATGGCATCAACATAGCTCTCTTCCAACTGTGCCAGAGCGATTACAGTAGTGGGAGTTGTAATTCTCTATACGGGGCAAATCTCATTGTATCACACAAGGGGGTCTGGTATTGTTAAATGCAATGACGCAGCTCTCTACTTGTAAAAAATACAAGCATCAAAAAACAAACTAAACTACAACTACAACTACGGACCCCTTAATGTAAAAGAATAAAGGTAATACCAACATAATGCTAAAATGCCACTAAAAATAATTCCTAGGCCTGTCATTGTTCAGTATATGAAAGCTGGAACA